CTCTTTTCCTCCAATGTGAACTACAGAATTAGACTTATCACCGGGTTTGTATTTACATGAGCAACACGACGGGTATCACATGTGGAGCAGAATCTCCTTACCTTTCCAGAGCACCTGAGATCACCCCGGTAGTTTATGGTGTTCTTATTGCTTAGTCTCTAATTTTCTATGCTGTGTTTTGTGTACTGTTGTTTGTCTTTTCGTCGTTTTTCGTTTTTTGCCATGGCATTGTCAGTTTGTTTTTGACTTATCAGTTTGAATGTACCTTTGGTATTTTTCGCCTCTCTTTTATAACCAGGGACCAATTGATATTATTTGGATATATATATACTTCAAAATATCGTTCGGTGTGGCATATTTCAAACAGTTTGGAAATCTCTTCCATATATTTTATCTGTATATGCATAACTTACGAAAAAAAATGTATAGAACGTTTTAAAGGGATGTCATTTTTCTACCGATTCATTTCAATGAGCAAATATGACTTTTATCTGAATTGTTAGTGACAGAGTTAAGAAATGAAAATAACCTTTTATTCTTTAAATGCGTCCGAAGCACTTTTTTCTAGATTTATAAATATCTAAAAACACGATGAGCTTCATGACATAGTCTTATTTATCTAAGGTCAAAACGAGTTAGTTGGAACCTTACTTTCTGAATAATTTTTTACTTTATCAACGAAGAATTTTAGAAGACTAATTTATAAACAATGAAACTACCGTAGCACTGACCTTTGAACTGATGATGCATTCGGGTACTAACAGTCCAACAGCAGTGGCATCGACCCAGTGTTAATAAATTAAGATAACACTTTAAAATTTTTAAGCGTCAGAAGTACTGTTATTGGTTTATCTTCATCAGCAACGCTCAAATCCAAACATTCAAATGTCATGGCTGTATAAAAACTAATATATAAGAGAGCAATATATGAAAAAAGTACCTAGATGCCAAATTTATCTAAGGTAAGGTGCGAAAACTTCTAATACGACAACGAATGAATTAAAATGCAACCCCTTAAAGGTGTATCTAAATTACTTAGTAGATATATTTGCTTAAGTTAAAAGAAAATAATTTTCAATATCGTTTGTTTTTCACTTGTTTCGTTGATTGATAGCATTTGATTTTGTCAGTTTTTATGTACTTCCCCCTTTTTGAATTTGCATCGGAGTTCGGTATTTTTGATATACTTCTGTTTCCAAAAATCGAATCTGTAAGTTAAATAACAAGAGGATATTTCTATAATGAGGGATGTTCTTGGTGTTCTCTTTTCGCGGATAAGTTAAAAAAAACAAATTAATTGAATATGTATAACACCGTTATCGATAAAACAATCGATTAAAAATACAACAAGTCAAACAAATTGAAATGATACCACATTAATGCTGCATATTGTCCCAACGTTATAGAAATCACGCCGTGCTGCATGCAAATACTGTTCTGTATTACGGAGCAGATTTAAAACTCAACACATCAAGATTGTTGAACATCTCTCTCAGCAACTCAGAATTCCTTATTAAATAAAAATCCCAAATAATTAAAAACAACCACTGACGAGGTTCCTGACTTCGTACAGATGTTATGGACATGGGTTAAATTAGTTTTTGGAAATCTCAACCCTCCACTCCTGTACAATAAAAAACAATACATAAAAACTTACATATGTAATATATAAGAAAAGATGTCAACAAATATAGAATAAACATCAGTAGTAAGTTGATGCAGAAGATCATGGCAATTAAGTATTTGAATTGTTTTAGTAACAGTGAAGCAAAACGCTTTATTCAAGCATGTTTATCTCTTTTCCTATTTCATTTTCTTTTTTTTATTCAAATCTGTTCATTTGCAATTTTATTTTTAATTAATATGTATGAAATATCGATCATCGTGATGAAAATCTGCAATCTTCTGGGTGTTGAATGTTTGTTTAAAATATAAGTTGCTGTTCAATTAATAGATGATTGTTAGGGAAATGTTTTTCTTTTCTTACAGTGGTGTATTCAAAATGCATAGTTTTTTTACTACTATACACTTCTTTTAGTTTTAAAAACTAACGTTATATTATAAGTTTACGAAATATTTTAAATGTCTTGTTTTATGTGTCTAGTTCAATTAAGTTATAAGATTGTAAACAAATATGATCAGATTTTCCTGTGTCATATTTTTAATTTCGCTTATTGGTCAGTGGCGTCAGCATATGTAATTCATGTTTATCTATTCACTGGCGAACAATTAGTTTGGACGACGCTTAAGCTTGTGGTCTATGTTTTTTATCCAAAATGTTTCTTGAATAAGTTCTTTGTTTTGCTAATAATGAGAAAAACCTCCAGAATGACGTCACAGACATATTGTACATCAATGCTTGACAAATGTTCGCTTTCTTAAAGCTTTCATTTTGAAGTTAAGGGATCAATTAAATAAATAATAATTATCATACCAGTTTCTTTTCCGTGAATTTACAGGTCCAAATAAGTCTTAAACTGTACCTTGTCCTATGTACAAACTGAAATTTGAGTTGACGGATAGATAGGGGAAGATAAAAATTATTAATCAATGATATGAATAAAGTACACTTAAATTTGATTGCTAGCACTTTTTTATTCGCCTACTTTTATCGTATTTTTTAGGCAAATTAGTGTATTGTATGTACATATTGAGTGCCTCCTGTTTATTTCATTTCAGCACATCATAGTATGCCAAATGATATTGTGGAGATATTTTTACCGTTTGTGAATGAATATTCTGTATAAGTTTTGATACTAGAAAACATCCATGTGGTATGCTTAAATATAATATTTTGACTTACCTGTGACATATATAAATTATACAAACTATCAAATGCATGAAAGAAAATATAGAATTTACGGAAGTATATGATTATAACAAACACATGGAGCATATATATATGGCATGACTAACTGGTGATGATTAGATATACACAATATGTTATAATAAGGGATTGTTCAGCTTAATGTGTACTAGTTTGGTAAGACAGTTGTTTTTTGTTTTGTTTTGTTTTGTTTTGCTTCCTTTTTACTGGCGTGGCATATTGTGAAGAAGTGCGTCCTTTTTCAGTCGTTTTTTCGTGAAGCTAACTTCATTTTAAGTTCATGTACACTTGTTTTATAGTTAAACTTATAATATATAGCCTTTCAAGTATATAAAACATATTCAAGTTTTTTTTTAATTTAAAGTATCATATACTTTACATGGTTCTAGTACATTATCGTTACATTATCTAATATAGAATGGACATTTTGACCTGATTAATGTATAAACAATAAACGAAAAATATATAAGATATATAGCAACAAACGATGCAACAACCACTCAAACATGTTTGTCAAACCCACCACCTAACCTGAGACAGGTGTAGCATTACAATATTAGAACAAACTATAAAAATCAGTTGAATGAGGCTTTCCTCGTCAGATCGATACAAACCACTCAAAAACGTAACAAAAACATAAAAGACACAAAATATTGATCTGAGAGTACTCGCAGTTACCTCAAAGCTTGTTCAACGCCAATAACAACTTATGTATCTAAGACTTTAATAGCATACATACCTAGCAGAGAAAAACATGACCTCATGCAATGTCAAAATATAGCTGTCGACAGATTGTAGGACCGTGAATGTACATATGTGTATAACAATGATATTTAGTTCGCTTTTAAGTTACAGATAACAAAGTCAATACTAGTATTTATACCGATAAAAACAATATTCAAAGATATATTTACAGTGTTGAATTTGTAACCTTTTAGAATAAGTTTATTTAAAGGATCGATAAGTTTACTCGGATCGTATCTACGTTTACGTGTTCAGTTTACAACATCACTGTAAAAATTAGGACGTGCTATCCCGTTTGCAATCAGTTTTCTACAGCTAAAATACCAAACAAAATCTTTGTATCTATTGAAGAATTTTGTAAAGGTTTTAATAAAGTTGTGGTAACGAAATCCTTGACTTGATAATTTATCAGTCATACATTGATATTGTTTATTGAAATCTAAAACGTCACTACAGACACGGGCATGGCGAACGAGTTGAGATATATAAACACCGTAATATGGGGCCAAGGGAACTTCGCCCTCAAAAAAGGAAAATTAACAATAGGGAACGAAACACCGTTCCTTTTGTCGTAAATTGTTGTGTAGAGTTTCCCGTGTAAAACTGGTATATCTAAATCTAGGAACAGTTATTGCTGTTTATATTTAAAGTTAGTTCCTTTGTGTAAATTTCTGCAGTATATTTAGAGAATTCTCCATTATTTAACGAAAAAATATCGTCAAGATTACGGTAAGTGTTATTGAATTTATCGATTAAATGCAATTAAGACAGGTTTTTATTGTGTTTGGTTATAAACTGTGGTTCATAACAGTACAGGAACAAGTGTGCTATTAAAGGGGCGCAATTTTCTCCAATGGAAATACCAACAAACTTTCGATAAACTTGATTGCCGAAACGTACATAAATGCTGTCAAGGAGAATTTTACAGCTTTAAAAGATTGACGATAACAACTAATTCTCCCCGAACCGCAAATATATTGAGAAAAAGCAAAAATGAGTGTCATTGGTGTTCTGTTTTATTTTTCAGGGGTGCAAAAATTTATGCTTTGAGTATGGATTTTGCTCATTGTTGAATGCTGTTATTATGTAACCTTTATTTGGTGACCTCTACATTATTTAGTCTGTGGTGGGCCGTAGTCTTATTTGCAAATATCTACTACATCTCTTTACTTTATTTAGGTAATGTAATCCTTAACAAAAGATTTTTTTTCATTTTGGCCCAATAGTGTGCCAAAATAAATACAACAAATTTCGTTCGATTGCTCTCTCATTGACGATTCAAAATTCGTTTAAAAAATCTATCAGGAATAAAAGAATTCTACATGTCACCTTTATTTTCGTGATGAACCATTCGTGACAAAAGTAAATTAAAAGATCAAATTACAACAACTGTGCAGTGAACCTAGAAATAAGTTCAACTATATACTAAACAGTACATCGTAAGAATTTCACTCAAGTGGATGTATTATAGCAGTGCACCATGAAGTTGACACAAACTCTTTTTCTAGTTGTTACAGTTTGTCATGTGATCTTGGTTGAAGGCTGTACTTTCAGTAAGTACTATTCAGATAAAATTTTATTTTTTTAAATTTTACTACTTTATTTTGTCAGTTGGTAAATACAGTTGGAAGATTCTATACAAAGCATTTGGAGCATACTTGATATGCCTCATTATCTTACCTCCTATAAGCTTCTAGGAATATCATTGGTTAAAAGCGATGTGGAAACCGTGTGTATTTAATATTAGGTCAGTGGGCGTGATTTATTTATCATTCACGGTCAGTGGGCAAGGTTTATTTGAAATACACTGTTAGTAGTAGTTTTTTTTTAATATCATTTTTTTTTATTGTTGGCATTTGTTTTTGTATATATCAGTACAATTAGGTTCGTAATATATTGAAAACTTGATCACTGTTATAAATCACCATGATAAAAACTTCGGATGTAAGTCAATGTAGTTACTCAATGACACTAAAAACCAAAAGACATCTAAAGCTTAACATATAACATAATGTCTTAAACAATATCTTTACAAAATGTCTGGGATGATCAGAACATGTGCTTATTAAGGAGTTTACAGGTAATGGTGGTAACTAAGATGACCATGTAGTTATTAAGGAGTTTACAGGTGAAGGTGGCAATAAGATGATCAAGTGATTATCAAGGAATTTCCATGTGAGGATGGTTAACTAAGCTGATTATGTGCTTACTGAGGAGCTTATAGGTGAGGGTGGTTACTAAGATGATCATGCGCTTATTAAGGAGATTACAGGTAAAACATAAGTATCAAACATAAGCTAAAAGAACTCGCCAAGGAATTTGTTTTTGTCTCGGCTGATAAGGCTGCTAATAATATCATTATTGTTTGACGTAAATTTTACATTGAGGTTCTGCAAAAGGAAATCACGAATTCACCAACATTCCAACTGACTCTATATTCGGAAAATGACATCTGTAACAAACATAAACTTTTAACTACCTCTTTACAAGCAGAACCAAATACAATGAAAGTTCAAACTATGCACTGGCTTCCGAAGCTGCACAAAACACCTTACAAATATAGATTTATTTCGTCTTCAAGCCATTTTTCCACTACTTAACTGTCTAATTTACTTACAAGTACAATCAAAAACCTAGTAATAAATTGTTCAAATAAGGCCTTTGAAAATAGTGTAATTAATTTCTTCTGGAGTGTCAAAAACTCTTTGGAAGTACTTGATAAATTGAATGCTTATATTGGTGATTTCGAATCTGTTCAAAGTTTTGATTTTTCTACCCTATATACCACTTTGCCTCATAATCTTATTAAGAAAAAATTCACACACCTAATTAAATAGGCATTTAAAAAGTCAGAATGCGAATATATAAGTTCAAACTCTTTTAGATCATTTTTTAGTAACAACAAACAAAATAACTATTTCAATTGGACCTGCTTTGATAATATAACTGCCCTTGAATTTTTACTCGATAATATTTTTGTTCGTTATGGAGATTCCGTATATCGTCAAGTTTTTGGAATTCAAATGGGGACTAACTGTGCACCACTTATTGCGGACCTGTTTCTGTATTGTTATGAGTTACAATTTATGAAGGATACAACAGATACAGTTAAGTCTGCCTCATATCTTGACTTACATCTAGAAATTGACAATGAGGGTTGGTTGAAAACAAAACTTTATGACAAAAGAGATGATTTTAGCTTCCCAATTGTGAATTTTTATGTAGCAATATTCCAACAGCGCCAGCATACGGAGTGTATATCTCCCAGTTGATAAGATACTCCAGGGCTTGTATTTCCTATCATGATTTCCTTGACAGAGAGTTGCTGCTCACAAGGAAGCTATTAAACCAAGAGTTCCAAGTGGTGAAATTGAAATCATCCCTTTGTAAATTTTAAGGACGCCATCACGAGTTGGTTGACCGTTACCAGGTTACGGAATATCCGTTTCACAGATGATAGAGGATATGTTTCTAATGTCGTAACTACAATCCCGTCCCCTTTTCCCGAATGTGACCTACCGAATTAGACTTATTACCGGGTTTGTACTAACATAAGTAACACGATGGGTGCCACATGTGGAGCAGGATCTGCTTACCCTTCCTGAGACCATCCCCCAGTTTTTGGTGGGGTTCGTGTTGCTCAGTCTTTAGTTTTCTTTGATGTGTTTTGTGTACTATTGTTTGTTTGTCTTTTTTAGCCATGGCGTTGTCAGTTTATTTTCGACTTATGAGTTTGAATGTCCCTTTGGTATATATCGTCCCTCTTTTATGACTAAAACCAGAAAAAAAACCATCGAAACAATATCTGATACAAAAATTTTATAACACTTTTGGATATTTGGATGATATATTGGCTCTCAAAAATGACGATTTCAATATGTACACTAAAGAGATTTATCCTGCTGAAATGACTTGAAATAAAGCTAATACTAACAATGAACACTGCCCTTTCCTGGATCTTGATATCTATATCTTTAACGGGAGGCTTAATACCAAAATGTATGATAAAAGAGGTGATTTTTCATTTCCTATTGATAATTATCCATTTTTAGATTGTGACGTTCCCTTGTCACCATCTTATGGTGTTTATATATCTCAACTTGTTCGATTCGCTCGTGTATGTAACAACGTATTTGATTTTAACGAAAGAAATCTCTGTATTATTGAAAAAATATTACACCAGGGTTTTCGATATCACAAACTAGTCAACACATTTACTAAATTTTATCATCTTTACAAGGACATTATTCGTAAATATAAATCAACATGCAGACATCTTATACGTTCAAGTATTTCACATCAAAGCTTTTATGGTAATATTCTATACAAAGCACAAAAATGTCGGCATTCACCTCAAAAGCTAACCAAACCTTTAAACAGACTTATTCAGAAGGGATATAGTTACGATACTGTTGTCAGGTCATTGAAGATGGTATATTTTGGTATTAATATTGATTCACTCATAGGGTCTTTGCATTGGAAATAAACACATTTGTTCTAAAACCAGTTGTTGGCATGATACGGGTTATGTTCTTCTCATAAATTTGATGATGGTATGATACTAAACCCCTAACCGGAGGGATTGTGCTTGATTTTCATATGATGAAGACATAAATAATCTTTCAATCAGTTTAATTGAAGTCTGGAGCTGGCATGTCAGTAACTGCTAGTAGTCCTTTGTTAATTTATGTATCATTGTCATTTTGCCTAGTTTCTTTTGTTACCTACTCTGACATCGGACTCGGACTTCTTTTAAACTGAGTTTTACTGTGCGTATTGCTGTGTGTTTGATTATTCTACATTGGCTAGAGGTATAGGGGGAGGGTTGAGATCTCACAAAACATATTTAACCCCGCCGCATTTTTGCGCCTGTCCCAAGTCAGGAGCCTCTGGCCTTTGTTAGTCTTGTATATTTTTTTAATTTTAGTTCATTTATATGTTTTGGAGTTCAGTATGACGTCCATTTTCACTGAACTAGTACATATTTTTATTAAGGGGCCAGCTGAAGCCCGCCTCCGGGTGCGGGATTTTCTCGCTGTGTTGAAGACCCATTGGTGGCCTTCGGCTGTTTTCTGTTCTTTGGTCGGGTTGTTGTCTCTTTGACATATTCCCCATTTCCATTCTCAATTTTAAAGGTGATAACTAAGATGATCATGGGCTTATTAGGGGGTTCCAGGTGAGGGTGGTAATATGGATGGACTCGTTTTTAGATAATAAACTTAAATGTCAAGCTAAACTGTAAAAAGAATGGAAATACTATGAAAGATCTATCATCGACACTAAATTCCGCTAATGACAAAAAACATGCATTTTCCATCAGTTGGAATAACACGAGTTGTGTATTCAATAGAATAACAAATTCAGTGGAAGTTCAAATGTTAGAAGCCAACAATCGTAATAGATGTCCAATTTGTCAGTTCAATGTAACTCGCTCACTGGAACTGAAACCTTCAACTGGCGCTATATAAAAAAAGTGTTACATGAAAATGTTATTGCAATTTGTCTTTGGTATCGACGAACTCTTTAATCCTATTTCAGAGTGTTCGCTGGTTGAGGATATTCTCGAAAAGATGTTCAAGTCTAGAGGCTCTGGTAAGAATGTTCTTTCGACAGTTTAAAAAAATGAAATTTTCACTTTAATTTAAAATCATAAGTGAAAAGTGGAAGATGCAACAAAAACTGACTAAAAAGTTACAAATGACGTCTATAGTTATCTATGGTAATAATGACATCTTTTAATTACCACATGATTGCATTAAAAACCACTGAAATGTATTAATTCAATTTATTCAATTTTTTTTAACTTAATAGTCTTTTATTCAAAAGCAATACTTTTATAGAATTTACATATATATTTAATAATTAATACTATATATATATATATATATATACTCGGAAACGGGCCCTTTAATTGGATTCAATAAATATTCTTACTCTTCTTACTATATAAACATAATAGCATTAGTGATTAATTATATGTGTTTCCCATAAAAGGGGGGCCTGCATCCCCCCCCTCCCCCCCGGGGCCCTCCTGGGTCCGCCTATGAATATGTGTTCTACAATTACAAACAAGTTTAAATCATTGAATAATCGGTAGAGAGTGACAACAATAATATAAATAATGAAATATAAGCATTATTTTACGAATAACAAATCTTTTCAGCTAAATAAAAGTATTCATATCAATTCATTTTTTGTACAATCAAGAACATGATTTACAAAAATGTTAAGAATCGACAATTAAAGAGGAATAATGTCAAACATGATATTCTAAGCAATCAAGAAATACACGTGTGGTATAAGTTGAGGATTTGAAATGTGCTGTAAAAAGAAAGGGTTCAAAGCAGGATATCTTTATATCAAAAATGAAAATTCTGAAAGGTTCACGCGAAGTTAGAAATTTTATTCCACGGATGTAATTACTTATCTAAAAAGTTTAACAAAAAAAACTAACTCCAGGGCAAATTCAAAAAGGGAAGCCCATAAAAACTGACAAAAACAAACGCTATCAACCAACGGCACTAGTGAAAAAAAAAACTATTCCTGGCTATTCCTAGTGGTATAGCTAGCTAAACCTCCAACATGATGAAAGTTGTTTATAGTTCCGATATATTGACAAAATTGGTTGAGCAACCCAAAAGGGTTAATAGGTTAATAAATTTGAAAAATTAAAGTTCAATAATTCTGTGAATAATGTGCGAGTCGAGAAGTCATTGCATTAACAATTCGTGTTTTTACTTTATCTGTTTCTCCTCTTATTAGATATTAGAAATTGTATTTGAATTATGTAAGTCAAATAGGGATAAAATTGAGAAATATTAACTTGTATACCTATTGAAATATTTTCTTTCCAGATAATTGTAGCAATCCAAAACCAAATGAGATCCCTGCCTTTAGTGCATCACTGACAAATTCAAAAGTTCTTGGTGCCACCGAAATTGTAAAGTTCGACAAAGTTTGGACAAACAATGGAAACGATTATGACCCGAATACTGGAATATTTCAGGCGCCTTTCAAAGGCGTGTATCAGTTCTCCTTCACAGTAATGTCCAGCAGTGGGAAGAATTTATTTGTTTATCTCTGGCAGAATGACACCCGTTTGGTATCTGTGTATCCTGGTACTGGTTATAATGAAGGAACGGCTAATATGGTGTTAAATCTGAAAAAGGACGACAGAGTTTACGTCAAATGTGGCGGAAGCGGACAGGGATACATCTACACAGGCAAAGACTATTGGTACAGCATGTTTTCTGGATATCTTATACATGCAACTATATAAATTAATTGTCTTATGATGAAATTTTGTTGTTGTTTATTAGCAAAAGGTGGGCTTTATTTTATCATTATTATTGATAATTATGTAACTTTTTGTTGTCTTGGTCTCCATGATGATCCTTACCCTACAATTAATAATAGTATTTTTTTTAAATCCATTATTCACTTATATTATACTCTTGAAGAAAACAAAAAAAAAGCAAAAAGAAACAATATGTCATATGAATCTTTAATTTTCGTCAAAGATCTCAACGCTTGATTATTCTTCCGACCGTCAATGAGATAACCATACAAAAGATTCTAATGCAATTATTTTGTATCAATGGTTCTGATTGGATGACAGTAAGCGTACAATTCTCTATCTCCTTGTCTGTAACTAAGGAAGCCGACATTTTGAATTGCGGAATGTATTGACATGTAATTTTTACAATAATAAGCAAAAAAAACTCACATGTTGCACCTAGAAATCTTCTTTTTATCAAATTTTATTACATTCTGAAGCGGCCAAGAAGCCAGAAAACGCCTGGTGTTTACGTTTGACGCCGGAAGCATACCTATGACGTCACCTAGTTTTGGGGCCAAAGAAGATAACATCTTTTCGCGGAATTTTCTTTAATGAGAATTTTGCACTGAAATAATGATTGAAATTGAATTATGTACTTGTTTTGCATTAGAATAGAGATAACTGTATTGTATTTGAAGCTTTGCGGACGTCAATCGGTAGTTTTACTGTCGCAATTTAGTTTACCTGGCGACGCGTAACAGTTATCTCTTAATTGGTATGACATTCTTGAAAAAAAAATGCCTTAACGATCCGCAAACAGTTTAGTCTTGCATCTACTTTTTTCTCGAAACTTGGGAGAAGTCCAATATATGATATAAGCAAACTCAAATGTTTTCATCAAAAACTTTGATCATATGCAATCGATAACTGTTACGTTGCAATACTCTAAATTAACCTTTGCCAAAGAGCAACTTTCAAATTACTTTTATAAATTGGCACTAGCTACGATTACGTTGAAATGTAACAATAATAAAAAAGTTATTGTTACATTGGACACTAATTGCCGGAATGCTAGGTTGGGTTAGGAACAGATTAATTACGAACGTAACAATAATATTTGTGTCTACGGTTACGTGGTGTTATTGTTATGTGATGCACTATAATAAAATTGAGAATGGAAATGGGGAATGTGTCAAAGAGACAACAACTCGACCATAGAGCAGACAACAATGTATGCTGGAACTAGTAAACTGTATTAAAATACAACTTGAAAACTTTTATTCGTTAACACTGCATGGCTACAATATTGCATACATTTTTTTCATTTTTTTTTACACTGATAGCAGCTTCTACACATCCAGTATGTGTGCTTTTGAGAGCATGTTTTAGTCCAACACATTTTTGGTGAAACCACACTATATATATAGGTAACTATCACAAATGAGTGATGCAGCAATGTGCACGTCGCTTTTGCAGACTAAACAGTTTCACTCTACAGTATCCCTTTTTGAAGTTTGAACAACTGTAAATGTCTGTCATGCTTCAGGTGAAATTTTTTTTTCTTGAAATGTTTATATTTTGGTCCTTGTTGGAAACATGTAAGGTTGTTTTATGTTGTATTTTAATATCATTTCATTTCTGTCCATTACTGATGTTACATACATAAGTTTGCAGTATTTTAGTTCACTGCTGTCAACTTGTGACTATGCTTTTGATGTATCAGTTTTTCGCGAACTGCATTTGTATAACTGTAGACAATTTGATTCTTGATAATGTTTGTTTTGATTCAAACTACTAGTAATCTAAAGTTTTAAAGTTTTCACCCAAAACAAATATCAGTGGTAATAGAAATCACTTCATCCATTGTTCAAATTATGAAGAAAGTAATATGAGTAGATGTGCAGTAATCAATCGGTTCCTAACCCAACTTAGCATTCCGGCAATTAGTGTTCAATGTAACAAAAAACGTTTTTATTATTATTGTTACATTTGAACGTAATCGTAGACAGTGCCTTCAAAATTTTAGGATCTCAAAATAAAAAAAAAGAAATATTATGTTTGTGCGCATTAACAATTTTGGATATCTGATCCAGTTGTCGCAACTACAATCCGTCCCCTTTTCCCCGAATGTGACCTACCGAATAAGACTTATCACCGGGTTTGAACTTACATGAGCAACACGACGGGTGCCACATGTAGAGCAGGATCTGCTTACCCTCCTGGTGCACCTGAGATCACCCCCAGTTTTTGGTGGGTTCGTGTTGCTCATTTTGTTTGTCTGTTGGTCGTTTTCTTTTTTAGCCATGACGTTGGACAAGAATGCGAGTTTAATAATTGCAATTTCAGAAAAATCTACATACAGTTCTATCTTCTAGTTATCATAATGCGAGTTCTTATTATTGCGATACTCACCTAGTCCTAGTCGCATTATTCGCATTAATAATCAAAGTGCTTTACTTTATCAAAGGGAAGTCAAATTAAACATTGCATTGTATAAAGCATTGGTTGAAGATGATTTTCAACTACAAAGTATGGACAAAGGAAGATAACTCCAATTCTAAAGATTACTTTAACAATGACATCACTGATATTTTTAGAACAAATATCAGATTCCCGCACCTTGCACAAGTTGTGTATTCTTGACAAGTATAACATTATTTTGAACTTTAACATCTAAGCATACATTTCATTGATAAATTTCTAGAAGTGTTCATGGATAGGATGTTAAGAATGTTATGATCAATGCACTATATTTTGTGTATATCAAAAGTAGAGATAAACCTTGGAAGATTCAGATATCAAGTCAGTAACATAGGGTTTTAATTGCATTTCATGCAATCTTTACCCAAAAACATTGCAATAATTTCTGAATTTACAGTTCTTTCAAATCATTAATGGGTACCAAACAAAAAGGCAAAATATTCTAATGGGACCGGACATTCAAAACTCATTAAGTCAAAAAGAAACAGACAACACCATGGCAAAAAAATGAAAGACAACAAATAGACAAACAAGTCTACAATACACTTGAACTAAAAATAAAGACTAAGTTACACGAACCCCATGAAAAACTGAGGGGACTATAAAACTGTTTAATTCTCAATTTTATATAAAAATAAGGAGATGTGGTATGATTGCCAATGACACAGCTATCCTTCAGATTCCAAATAACGGACGTGGATGTAGGCAACTTTACGGCTCTCAACATTAAGAAAAACACAAACTGTATAGTCGTCTATAAAAAGGCTCCGACATGACAAAATGTGAAATACAAAATGTAAATTAAACGATATAACCAACGACCTAATTTTTGACATAAAAAAACAAAGAAAAACAAATATGACAGACATCAATCATTGATAACCACTAATTGACAGGATCAGGATGGTTTTCAGCACGAAAAGAGGCAGAAGATACCAAAAAGGGTAATCAAAAACCATAAACCATGACAATGGCCGACAGAAAATGGAGAAAAGACATACAAATATCCATAAAACGTAAGCAAGAAAAATGAAGATTGAACAATATGAACCCCACCAAATACTGAGGTGCACTGGAAAGGACAGCAATTCCTGCTAAACGAGTGGTACCTGTCGTTCACTCCTTTTTAAATCACTTAATATTCAAACATATCTACTGATAAGGCATTACCCGATAGATGATTAGTAAATGTCCGTTTTATAATACTTAATTCATACATCATTGATATATGTAAAGCAAAATTAATAGGCAGAAACAATGTTTTTATATGGTGTGGACATTATCAAGGAACACGGCTCTTGAATGATAAATATACATAAACTGTTGACAGAGATTTGTCTCACCTGCCTAAGCTTATCACAAACAACAATACTTGTTAATGCCACTTATATTGCTGACGCCAGAAATAGCATACCTTAGTTTCAATGCCAAATCTTATTTTTTACAGAAGAGTCAAAGATGTTAAATTCAAACTGATCTATGCCTAGACATGCAATCAACATTCAAAATGATTTTGTCAATAATTTATGTAACTGTTGAACAGAAACCTATTTTGTAACCTGTGGATGTTAAAGAGTAGAACTTACTGAGATCAGTTCATTTGGACTTAGAGCAGAAAGAATAGATTCAACCCATTACTCCAATGAAAACTAATTACCCTAAAAATTAATGGGAATTAAATTTTTAGACTACACATGCATTGTTGGATTCTCCACGAAGTTGTGTTCTATAATTTTCTACATAATATATATATCATGAAAAAGGCACTTATTATGGATGTGAAAAACCACAGAAATCAACGATTTTACTAAATTTAACACAGATGCAATACTTCACTCCCTGGTGGCAAATATGCATGTGTTCAATTAAGAGATAATTCTCAGGAGGTTTTAATTTATATTGATTTTTTTCACAGGTTGTCCTTTGAGGGGTTGGCATACTTTTGGTATGCGAGAAATACATGTTAAAAATAAGTGGGGATGTGGTTTTATAGGGGTAAAAAAAGTGGGGTTGTGGTGATACAAGGGATAAAAGAATTTGGATTTTGGAAAAAGAAGGGAAAAAATGGGAAGTGTGGAAATAAATTACAATAAAAGAACAGAGTTCCAATGTTCCCCAAGTTGCACATATTTTATCTATCCAAGGTACAAGGGCAATAACTAAAAACAAAATTTTTGTTTTGTTTTTTTTAAACAATTTATAAATAACTTAGAGAAATGAAGGCTACAGAGCAAATGCAATACAATTTCCGTTATAATTAGATTTTCCAAGGGGAATAACTCGTTAAAAATATTTAATCAGTACTTATTTCCGAAAGTGTCAAAGACATTGCTGATAGAAACCCATGATAGAAGTTCCATAAAATTCTGGTAAGAGTTGTACACATGGGAGCGCTAACAATGCAATTTTCCATTTAATCAATATTTCCAAGGGACATAACTCTTTAAAAAATAATTGATCGGCACTGATTTTCTAACTCGTCAAAAACATTGATGTTATAAACCTATAATATAAATTTCATAAAAATCTGGCAAGAATTG